GCGGGACTCGATCCCAGGACCCTGGGATCATGACCTGAGCTGAAGGCAGACGCTTAACCGACTGAGCCACCCAGGCGTCCCTGAGACCCATCTTTCAAGGAAAGAGTAGCAATTATGGGTCCTTGAAAGGAAAGTACTAAGAGCACACTCACACACACACACACACACACACACATGCACACACACACACAGTGGATCCAAGACCAACTTGGGGGAGCCCAACAGTGCCTTCTATAAGTGGAAAGCTTTCTTTAGAATGGCATAGATATGCCTACCTAAAGATTAGATTAAAAAATTAATGTCCACTTTCAGTTATCATCAATGATAATTAATGATAATTGATCATTATTGTCCTACTTTGTAGCAGTATGAATTTTGCTACCTTCCCTCTTGCGCTTCTAGTGGGATCATACTACTATACACATACGGCCAAATTTTGAGAAAATCCAGGTCAAGAGAGTGTGACTCTCTGATCAGATATATCCAAGCATGGCCCCGACTGAACGTGCTGTCTGTAGTTGGAAACAAAATGCATGTTTTCAAACTCCACTGTTTTAGATGGATTCCATTCTGTTTCTTACTACCGTAGTGTAAATACCAAGAACGTTTTGCCACTTCAAAATTCATATCACTACAAATAGTTGCTCTTATCTACATCCTCATACGTTTATTTCAGGGTTGTTGTTGGGTTTTGTTGTTCGCTTTAAATTGTGGCCCTTCTTCTAAGGATTAGAGGAGCATTATTTTAGAGTCCCTATGTTGGATGTAATTTAGAGCTGTACCACGTCAAACCCACTGACAGATTTAGAGATTAGTTTCCAGACCTCTTGCGGTGCCAAACTCCTTAAGATTTTGAAAATGGCAACACTGTTGACACTCTACTGCTAAAGATTACTTGTATCCATTATCCCATCGCTATAAAAGAAAAGTTTAAGTGTGGCAAATACCAATGTTGTTTTGCTTTATGGAAAAACCTGTGCATAGAAAAAAAGAAGAAGAAGAAGCAACAGCAATTTATAGAACAAGAAATAATTTATCCTCCATAAGGAAAGCTTATGTAGCTCTATCTCCCACCTTTCAATCTGGAAGGATAACATTGCTGTTGCAAAATTGATGTTATTTACATGGAAAAACTAGCTCAGTAGTTTTGAACAGTCATGTATTAGATCAGGCTTCCCAGAAGCAAACCATGAGTCAAAGGTTTGATGCTAGTGATCCACAAAAAGAAAGCTTTGAGTATGATGTATATGCTATTTGTATTATATTGAAAGTTGATACAAAACCTTTTTTTCTCCAAGTATTTTGGCTTAAGTGCATCTCCAAATACGTGTTTGCTACATTTTAATGTAAGTGCATTTTGGGGGAAATTTAATCCATATGTTTCAGCAAGGTTACCCGTAAATCATCCAAATGTGGGTTTATTAGAGCTACATGAGGTCTAAGATGCCTTTTGAGCTTTTTTTAATAGTCTTTACGTTCTTTTGTGAAAAGCAGCGAGTAAGTTGCCAAGAGTAAACAAATCGAATAGCAAAAGGTTTGAGTTGAGTTTGAAATGCTTAGCCCCTTATTTCTGATTGGGTTCTGAACTTGGCAGTGCGCATTCCCTGTTCCTGCCCGCAGGGCGAAGTGAAAACAATTTGAACACTATATTTCCCAATTGGTTCATTGACATTTGAGAATAACGGAGTACAGACAGAATCAGCCTGTTTGGCAGGTGAGTGATACTTAACATGACCTCAGAAAGTTACTTCCTCTCGGTTTGCAGAAGCTCAGAGCATGAAGCAATGTTATACAAATGATAAAGCTCAAGTTAGGACAAACTGCCATGGAAGGATCCATACTGGGGATTTATCTATTTCTCTTGTGCATCTTTAGGTGGAATGGTTGAAAAATGAAGACATAATTGATCCCGTTGAAGATCGGAATTTTTATATTACCATTGATCACAACCTCATCATAAAGCAGGCCCGCCTCTCAGATACTGCAAACTATACTTGTGTTGCCAAAAACATCGTTGCCAAGAGGAAAAGCACGACTGCAACTGTCATAGTCTACGGTGAGTGAGCTGTCCGAGTCTCAGTCTAGTTCATGTCAAACTACCGTTTCTCATTTTAATTTAAAACATCCCGGAGAGGCCCCTTGGCAGTCCTCATCGCCACTCTCTCCCAGCTTCGGGCTCCGACAGTGAGGTTTACCTGCTTCCCCGATACTCATAGAAAGACTAGACTTGGAAATTCCTAGCCCTTGTCAGTGAGCTGATGGGGAAGATGAAGGAAGTCTTCCTGAGTGCCTGCACCAGAGCCAGCAGATGTCCCTGCCTCTCTAAGCCCTCCCCTCTCCATACCCCAGACCACCCAGAGCCAGAGTGAGTTTGGAGATGGAGATGCTTGAGTCAGCTTGCTCATACTTCTGTGGGCCTTGGCTCAGTCAGGTAAACAAGCTGACCTGTTCCCCAAACACATCAGAGCAACATTGACTTCCTGGAATTTGCTTCACACTCTCCCTCAGGGAGACTTAGAGTGAAGGCAAGCACTGCTATCCCCGTGGCCCTCATCCTAACCACATGGCAAGGTTCAACATGATGATTTCTTCCGGAAGCTTCCCTCCCAGTCTCTGGTCCTTTCTAGTCCAGCTCATCTCCGACGGGGCCTGTCCTTTCTCCAGAAATACTCAACAGTCCCGCTCCCAATTTTGCTGTAGCGTGGGATGCTTTTATTTCCTGCACGTTTTAGCGCTCAGTTGTCTCCCAGGCATTCTATGGGTAGTTTCATTTCCCCAGCTGTGCGGTAAGCTCCGTTATAGACGGAGAGACCGCTCTGTCTGTCTGTGCATTTCTCACGATGTCGGACATACAGAGGCCCTCATATTCTTGATGATTTCTTGTACCAGAGGTAACCTAACAACCTGGGAAGTATTTTGAGGGTATGCCCCTCTTACCTGAGATGCCTGGGTCACACAACCCGCTTGGAACTTAAGGAAGCTCCTCATGGCTGCGTTGGTGTCAAAGGCCATTCCAGGGGCCTTCGGGTCTGGGTGACTGGGAAGCAGGGGTCGCTATTGGCAAGTATCTGGCTCGTGGTACTTACAGCCGATAGTGCCCTTCGGATGGAGGTCCTTGTGCTGCAAGGAGTTATGAGAAACAAGAGCCACTGTGATGTTCCAAAGGCTGAATATGGGGATGCTTTAAACCTCTCGTGTCCATTACAAGACAGATACAGACTATTTTTTAATCCTCTGAGTACTCTGAGCCTGAATTTCCTCGTCAAGATAATGGCTCCATTAAATTGTAAGCAGTTGCCTCTCTCCAGTCACAGTGAAATGATCCTCTTTTTGTCTTTTCCTAAAGTGGCTGAAGGGCTTGATTAACATCATTTCAAGGGCAAAAGAGAAACGGAGCACATCACAGCACGTAGTAATCATAGATAACTAATGAGGACAGACTCTCTGCGTATGCATTATATACATGTTTAATATACATGCAAATCTCTTTTCCTATGTATAGCATGCTTTCAATATCTATAAATACAAGCTGAACATTGTTTCTAGAAAGACTCAAACACAAGGAACTTGAGCATGTTGAGTTCAGAAAGCAGCATTGGACTAGGGGTCAGGAGGCTTGTGCTCTCAGACTAGTTCTCCCACTAACTGACCTTCATGGGTCACTCGACCAGGATGCTGGGAGCCCGTGTCTCCTTCTCTGTAGAATGAGAGAATAAGTCTGGGACTTTCTCATTCTTTTTTTTTTTTCTCTAGAAGTTTATGATTATTCATTTCTCGTTAAAATCCTACCAGAGCAGTACACGTATAGTATAACCCCCAATATTGGCCTGCAGGTACGCTAGTGAGCAATTTATACTGACAATTCCATGACATCTGGTTTTGTAAAGCTGAGCAGGTTAAGTTGCTTTTTGGAACACTGACTGAAACTCAACCTATCAACCATCTGTTTGTCCTTTTCATGGCCCCGTAAAGTCAGTTGTCCAAGGCTCCTAGATGAGGCTCACCAGAAACCCACAGCAAAACATATACATCTAATGAGTATTTCGTTTTCGAGTCTGTTGTGTATATTTATTTTTGTTAGTATCCATTTGTGGGTTGCAAATACATATCCATTCTAGAAAGTTAGGGAAACACAGAAAACGTCAAAGAAGAAAATGCCCATAATCCTGTCATCTTGTCATTCAAAAATAGCTTTCAAAAAGGTTGATATGCATACTACTGGCATTTTCTATGCATAGATAAGATTTTAAAATAAGGGGGTATAAATATATTTTTACTTTAAACATAATGCTGAAATAGTCATATATTATTAAATAGACTTCTCTAGCACCATTTCTAAAGGCTGCCTACATGTCAATCACATGAACAGGTATCTACTTTACCATTTTCCTATTGTTGAACATTACAGTTGTTTACAAGTATTTATCTTTATATAGAAAATAACTGCGATGCAAAAGCACTCTTGTCTGTGTCTGTATATATAACACATTCATGATGATTTCCCATTGCATAGGTTTCTAGAAGAGGAGATGTCGGGCATATGATGTGCACCTAGAAGGTGTGTGCTGCCCGAATGTCTAGCCCTCTTCTTTATGATCAGGAGGCAGACACTCATTCTCGTTGTGTCAGGTTTTAACTACCAGCAAGCAAATGCTTAATTACAATAATTGAATCTCAACTCACATAATGTAAGTATTAAAATATATCAGAGTATTTTCTAGAAGGAGATCTCCAGAGATGAATAGTGAACATAGCGTCAGAATGTAGGTTTTATAGTCATACCTATCCTGAACTCTCCATCAAACACCATAGTGAGCCTTTACACACAGCATGGGTGTCCATTTCAATTACATAAACTAATTGCCAATTCAATCAAAGAGCTACTCGATTCGTTTAAAATCTAGCAATATCAAGACTTTATTTTTTAACCAGGTTCACTGGGTTATTGAAACTGACTACAAGTCCTTAAAGGGTTGTAAAGTTTACATATGCTAAAGAAAATTGATCAGTCATCTGCTATTAAGAAAAAGCTACATGATTTTATTCAGTTCTCACGCTTCAGATCCACCTGCAGCCTTGGCATAAGGATGTAAACATTTATTATTTGCGATAAGCTGTCAAAAATAATTTTTGGAGCTTGACTAGGTAAGGGGAATATATATTTTTAAGAACACTAGCCAAGGAAAATAGAACACAGTTCTATTTACTTTTCTGAGTAGGTGAGTAAATTTGGGTAATTCATTTTATTTATCTCTATGCTTAGATTCTTCTGCTCTTTGATAATACTTTGAATGAAATGATGCTCCAGGTCTCTTCTAGCTTTGAAATTTTTGATTTTTTTTATGGTCACTTAGCAGATGAGTTTTTGTTTATGTGTTGTGCGTAGTTTGTGTATCTGTGTGTGCATGAACACACATGTAATTCACATTTTGTATTTACCTCCTTCCAGTCAATGGTGGCTGGTCCACCTGGACAGAATGGTCTGTGTGTAATAGCCGCTGTGGACGAGGGTATCAGAAACGCACAAGGACCTGCACCAACCCAGCACCACTCAATGGTGGTGCCTTCTGTGAAGGGCAGAGTGTGCAGAAAATAGCCTGTACCACCTTATGCCCAGGTAAATAAACCAGCGTTCTCATTCCAAACGTGTCCTCTCATTCTAGGAATATGTTTTAGGGCATGTACACAAAGCCTTATTCTTGACCTGAATGTGTGATAAACATTATTTATATCTATCATACCATTCAATGCTTACACTGCTGAGAAATCAAGTATTTTTCCCCAAAACAGTACTTAAATTTATTACCCAAACATGCAAAACAGAATAAAACAGGAGATTAAACACTTAGGGACATGATCGTTCTCTATTACTCAACAAAACTGCTGGAGCCAAGATTATAGGTTCTGTAATTCAAGGGATTTAGGCAGCACTGAAAGCCACACATTTTAGGAATACAACACTTGATCTTCAGACAGCCATGGACATTATTGGAATTAAAATTTAGAAAATGTTTTAGATTGAAATATTTGATATTTGATGTCAGTTTCTGGACAAGGGCAAACAAAACATTTGGAATGAATTAAAAGGAAGGCAAAGCTTTGTGGCACATGGGCTAATGGATTTTGAAAATACAGTACAGTCAGCTCTTTATTATCTGCACACGTTGGTCACCTATTTTTGTTATTTGCAGTGGTACCTATAGCGAGAGCATCCCTCTGCCACTGAACATTTTTTTCGCTGTCTCATATTGTTACCAGCTCTTACCCTAGGCAAATTGAAGGTGGTATTTGCCAAACTCAAAACCAACTAAAATGCTTAATTATATAATATATTAAAAAGTTAAGCTAAAATTATTTTGAAATAATCCATAAATTCAGTGCATTCCATTGGGGTAGCTGTTACATTGTCAATTTCATTATTTATTTGTATTTTATTTTTTTGTGATTTCGTTATTTAGAAACAGTCTCCTTACTTCTCTTTATTTAGCTTACTTTTTGTCTTATCCATCCTTTAATAGATAGTTTATCAGAGATGGGTTATAGGAATGAACTGTGGAGAAAAATATAATCTATATTTTGTATTCCTAAGTGTCCATTTTCAAATATCCAAACAGTATCCCTTTGGGAGATTTTGTTTGTGTAACAAATTTTGACACTTAGCTAGGTTTAGAATTTCAATATTTTACCTTATACTCTCCTATATTTTATCTAGGTGTTGACTTCTACAATTAAAAATGCACTGAGCATTTTGAGTTGAAATAAAAGTGTGTGTGTGTGTGTGTGTGTGTGTGTGTGTGTGTGTGTACCTTAGGATGATCTAGGTCAAAGCAAATGTCTTTTCTCCAAATAGCTGGGAGTTGCTTAAATAGCCAACTCTGGATGATTGAAATATTAATGCTTTCATCATTTTTTTCATATGGGCATGTTTATATCTCTATACACATTATACATAATATATTTACACAATAATTTGAATATGAAATCTATGGATTTCCTAAACTATGTAGACTATTAAAATGGATATAATTACTATGAATATATAAGTGTAAGATGTTATGTATAGTAGATGTTCAATAAATGATGTTTGACATTGTTTTATATTGAATTCTAGATAATCATAATTATTTATGTATTTCAGGAAATTTTTTTAATTTAACTGCTTTTTAATATTCTTGTCCTATTTAAATAAGAATTTTTAAAGAATTCATTTTAAGTGTGACTTTAGTGAAATTTGCTGATTTTTTTTTCAACTTAGAATTTAAGTTGTGTGTTTTAAGATAGAGATATATCAGCTCAGTATCATTGCGATTACTAACAAGCCAGCAACAAAAATTAGGGAGAAAGTTAGTCAATTCTAAAGGACTGAATCACAGTAAAAAAATAGGAATATATGTAAATATTATTTGTAAAATAAAAATAGAAATATATATGTCATCAAATAATGGAATAGAATTATCAAATAATATATGGAAAATAACAGTCATTTCAACAAAGCATTGCAGAAGGGCTCAACAGAATCAAGCTGCCTGGATAAAAAAGTAAAATGAAAAGAGTATTTAAGACATGGATGATAGATAGATAGATAGATAGATAGATAGATAGATAGATAGATGATAGGTATGGATGGATGGATGCATGGAAGGATGGGTCAGTGAGTGGACAGATAGTCTTCTTCTCCATTATACCAACCTCTTCTCCATATCAACACACAAGTTTACTTGCACTGCCCACATGACACTATGCATGAAGAAATCTTGGATCTAAAAAGAGGTCCCCTAATTCTCAAAGCAAAATCCAAAAGCTTCCCTTCTAACAGAAAAAAAAAAAAGGCTCCATCATGATCTACTTTTATGTGCCTCCTGGTCCTCAGCAGCTCCTGGTGACAACTTCGGTTTCTGTGTCTCCCTTGAAGCAATTCCGTGGCTTGGTCAGTAAGGACACAGTCACGCCCCCAGGAAGGAAAGTTCACAGAACCCTCATGATGTATGTCGCGCATGCTCACTTCGCAGTAGTGGACATGGATGCAGTACTCCTTGATGGGACATCTTCTTCAGTTTTGTTTTGTTTTATCTACACGTGAGCTCTACTCCCTTCCCCCCTCAAGTAGCTGCTTCTCCCTCTGACCTTCTGTTGGGTTTTGTGTGTGTGTGCGTGGCAGTGGACGGCAGGTGGACTTCATGGAGCAAGTGGTCTACCTGTGGGACCGAGTGCACGCACTGGCGCAGGAGGGAGTGCACGGCGCCCGCCCCCAAGAACGGAGGCAAGGACTGTGATGGCCTCGTCTTGCAATCCAAGAACTGCACTGATGGGCTTTGCATGCAGAGTAAGTCAATTTGAACAAACAAAAGACAGGTGCGAGGCCTGAGGTTTAACCATTTGGATTTCTTGGAAATATTAGAAATTAAGAATTCTGAACAAAACAAAAAAATGCAGTAATATGCCAGTATACCATCTCTGTCTCAGAATTGAGAGAGCTAATTCCCCAGGAGCCAGAATGAATAATAACTGTCCAGTTAACAAATGACATACACAATATTGTGTTCTCATGAGCAAAGAGTGATTTAGTCATATCCATGGGGAAACTGTCACTCTTTCCAGACCAAGGAACCATTCCTTAGTTTTATTTGAATTAATAAAAGGGCACCCTAAACTCCTCAGAGTAGAATCACATGACTTCGAAAAAGTATGCTATTTATTCCTAATTCATGACCATTACCGAACCAATGTCCATGAATGTGAAATACATATAAAGCACAGGAAACGGTCCTGCAGATAGATTTACCAATTTACAGCAAATGCTTAGTGGGAGCATCTCCACAAGTCCTTGAAAATGCTAGGTTTGTGTTAATATTTGTTTAAGGAAGCAATATTAATAAAACAAAAATTTTAAAAATGAGTATAGAGGATTGGCTCGGGAATATAATGGGTGAGTAGGCTAAATATTCCCCATTTTTCATGACTTCGTTTCTTAGCTTTTCTTAATGAGATGGTAGTTTGATTTCCATACTTGCAAACTCTTACCCCTTTGAGGAGCCCTAAGATATACAAAATTTACCATCTTACATGACCATGAATTAAGGTAGTAAAAATTGTTCTGATATCACACCTATAGAGATGAATGGATGCTATCTTTGAATCTTAACTAAGAGCCACGAGATGTTGACATTTATTATAACATATTAACATTGCTTGCAGAACACAAGGAACCACATATATGTGTGTAGAAGTATTTATATTTATCATTTAAGAATAAAATATTTCACTTTCACCACATTTATGAAGTTCTGTTTCCCTTCCAGTGTCTATACACACAAGGCCCTTGAAAAAGAAACCCTTACTTAAAATACAAATAAGTAATGACGTTGCTGACACAGAATAAAAATCCTACAGGCTTATTTTTCTGTCCACAGTATGTTGCTTTCTTTGAGAATTGGCAGCTACTGAGTGTAAAGCACAGCTTCTGGTTATGAGTTTCAGACTGCTACTGTGTATCTCACCAAGTTCCTATTAGAAATGCAAGAATGAAAAGAATATAGCTGTTTTCCTAACCATTAATCCAGAGATACAGGGTTTGTTCCTCTAAGCATGAGTTTGAGTTGAGGATTAAAATAAAAACAGCACACACCAAGTTATTCTTTTTTTTTTAACATTTTTATAATTTAATATTCTTCTTTTAGTGGAGAACAAATTGATTCATATGATCAAAAAGTAACAATATTTGAAGTCTCTCTCTCTCTCTCTCTCCCCCCTGTCCCTCATCTCTCTCCCTCTCTCCCTCTCTCAATACTGTATTTCAACTTTGGGTGATTTAACACTATTGCTTCTATTGTGCATATTTTTAAATTCCCAAAGCAACCTATTTAACAAGAAATACAATGCTGCAAGATGGAACTTTCGGCCTTTAATTGGTTACACAAAATGACATCTACTAAATTATGACATTTGTCAAATACAAACATGACATATGCAAATTAAGACTTTCATGACATAGCATCCCCTTAGCAACCAGCTTGTTTCTTATGACACTAATAGAATTTTTTGTTTAATGTATGGCTATTTGTCAGTAATGATGGCATGAAGTGGTTGTATAAATCAGGAAAGGGAACAAGGCTACAAGAGAGGGTTTTGTTGTTTTCTTTTGTTTGTTTATTTTTTATCAAGTCTCTTGTTAGACTGAAACATTTGAGTGTTTGGATTAAAATCAGTCAGTTAAAAAGCTATTTCCTTTTACAATTCTGATTTGCTATAGTAACAGCCCTACTAAGTCAATAAACTCTTTCATCTGCCCTCCTATATCTACTCTAGAGCAACAGAAAATTGTCTGTGCTATTGATTTCCTCAGTGATAAAAACCACAGAGATAGTGCTGCACTGTGTAATGATAGTATTTTACAGTGAAAGTTATACTTTCTACTTACCAGTAAGCTGGGTGTTTCTGGCATAGCATTGCACCAAAGTCTTGCAAAGAAATAATACTGCTCTTGGTCCTTATTTTGGAAAACAAAGGCTTTCTAGTAGTGAAAGTACTCAGTTTGCAAGAAGGATGAGGTGTATATTAAGAAATAGATTGGAGGACGGGGCGCCTGGGTGGCTCAGTCATTAAGCGTCTACCTTCCACTCAGGTCATGATCCCAGGGTCCTGGGATTGAGCCCCGGGTCGGTCTCCCTGCTCAGCAGGGAGCCTGCTTCTCCCTCTCCCGCTCCCCCTGCTTGTGTTCCCTCTCTCGCTGTGTCTCTCTCTGTCAAAGAAATAAAATCTTAAAAAAAAGAAATAGATTGAAGGTAAAAAAGACAGCCAGAAAGTTGCAATTGACAATTAAGAATTATCATTTAATGTTTATTTACTTTAGGGGAATTAGTGTCTTTGAGGCATTAATAGTCTTTCATCAACATTGCAACGTTTATCTCAAAATAAAGCTAGTTAGCATTGAACTAAGTATGCTATACCTCTGAAATTGTATTCCTAGTTGAAATTGTATACAAATGACTCTGATATAAATGTAGACACGCTGCTAGGTAGGAGAAATTCAGAGTTTATAATAGAGGTAAGTAGCATTCAGAAACCTAGACAATGTAGTGTAGTATATTTTAAAAGCCAAATTGATACTTAAGAGCAATACAATGTGAAATATGTAGAGCATATTACTGTCAATTCTTATTCAGTAATGTGTTCAAAACAGTCATATTCAGGCACATTCCTTCCTTAACCACCTCCCTCAATACAAATAACTTTGACTCAAAATATGCAGAAATATTGGGTAAAATATTAAAACTTAAAAAATATACATATGCACATGTATGGAGTGTGTGTATATGTGTGTCTGAGAAAGAATGGGTCAAGTTTGAAAGATAGAGAAATCCTCAAATCATCAAAATAAAATAGGAACTCAAAACTAGAGAGGTAACTGCATGAGTGGATACCAGAATAATCCGGAGGGGCATTGGCCATGGATATAAATCCTAGGGATTGGGAGTTAGAGGTTTTGTTTTGGCATAGAGGCCGAGGCCCAGAATTTGCACAAGCCTGAGGCCGAGAGTTGAAATCTAGAGCCCTTTGAATAAAGCCCTTTAAATAGAAAATTTTTACCCACCAGCCCAGGGAAGCCACAGGAAAATTCATGACAGAGAAAATAAAAATGAAATCTTCACTTAAATAAAACCTATAATAAAACCACAGTCCTACACCCAGATCTGCTATGGAGTCTAAAATACAGTACTAAGGGAATAAAAAAACAAAAGATATGTAATTAACATAGTTGCTGAAACTTCTAGGGTACCAACAGAAGCAAACAACAAGCCATTCTCTTGAGTTCTTTCCACAACCCAAGTGCATTGGTCTCTGACAAAAATAGCCCACTCCTGGAAATGAGATTACAATACGAAGTTTCACATCACCCAAGGGAACAGTCTGCTGCAAGAGAGAGTGCACAACACAGTGAGTGAGTTACTTAGCACTCTCATAACATGGACTCAGAGCAATCTGAGTGAGACTATAAAGTAAATAAAAGTAAAAAGACAAACTGTATTTTTAAAAGATATATAAGCACAAATGCAAGAATAGAATATTCTAAAAAGGATAGACAGATTTGGGGAAAAATCAAATGAATGCCTAGAAAGGTAAACAATTGAAAGTTAAAACTCAGTGGGAGGTTAAAAATCAAATCAGAGACAACTTTGGATACAGCTGAAGGGAAAATTAGTCAACTGGAATGTTGATCCCATGAAACTTCTTAGACTACAGGAAAGAAAGATAAAGTAAGTGATTATATAAAAGGGAGGTTAAAACACACGTAGAAGAGAATGAGAATATCCAAATTTGCTCAAGAGAGCAAAATTTAAAAGATTTTCAGACAATTGAAATGGATAGGGCTTACAATTCACAAACTCTCACTGAGTAAACTACTAAAAATATAAAATAAAAATTGATTCTTTAAAAAAAAGAGAGAGACCAATGAAGAGACAGAAAATAAAGATGGAAGTAAATTATTGACAACCTTAACACGGAATATGGGAAAGTGTGATCTGAGTTAAATTTTTCTAATTTCCGTATAGTGTTCAGTAAAAAAAATAACACTATTTGCATTCAATTCCATTGATTCAAGTTTACCAATTAAAATAGTAAGCGTAACTACACACATAAAGGTGGGTGTATAAATTCAAAATAAGATTTTTAAGGGCAGGAAAGGAACAACAACAACAAAAAACCATAGTAAATGAAAACAATAGTTAAGATGGTATAGACAGCGGCGCCTGGGTGGCTCAGTCATTAAGCGTCTGCCTTTGGCTCAGGTCATGATCCTGGGGTCCTGGGATCGAGCCCCGCGTCGGGCTCCCTGCTCTGCGGGAAGTCTGCTTCTCCCTCTCCCTCTCTCCCTGCTTGTGTTCCCTCTCTCGCTGTCTCTCTCTCTGTCAAATAAATAAAAATTTTTAAAAAAAAGAAAGATGGTATAGACAAAGGATCATCATATGTCAGGGGTAACAATGTAAATGAATTAAATTTACCTGTTAAAAGAGGTTCAAAATTGAAAGTTGTAGTAAAAAAATCCCATTTGATACTGTTTAGGAGAGACATACTTAAATCCATAATTATAGAGAAAGATTGAAACCTAGAAAGTGGAACTTAACAGTATAGTGCAAACTTTATTTTAAAATAGCTTTGACTGTCTAATTAGGCCATTATTAATTCAGCTTCATCTCCCATTATGCCTAAGTAACACATACCAGAGATTGGTATTGCTCATAGTTTTAATTTAGGTGTTTGTTTTTCTTAGACTCTATAGTTTTTAGAATATTTAATTTTCTACAGAGTAAGTAATCAAAACTT